CTCAGAAACTCGAAATTTCTACAGAAGCTCGGAAAAATTCGAAAATAAGCTCGAAAGCTTCAAACCAAGCTCTGATACCACTTGTTGTGGTATCATCCCAAGATCATAAACTTAATTTGAGAGAAAAACAAGTTTCTATTACTCACAAGAATAAAAACAAGAGATTTACAAACTCTAAACAAAAAACTCTCAAACACTCCACAACTCTTTCTTGGTTGTGTTTCAACACTCTCAAGGTTGATTGATCACACTCTTGGATGATTTGAATGAATGAAATAAATACCCTATTTATAGATATGAATTAGCACACCATCATTGACAAAATGGTGTGAATGAAGAAGGTGGTGGATGGCACACCATTGATGAATTCTCCATTGGTGTGCCATTGAATGTTTGGTGGAGGAAGATGGCTTCAACATATATGCATGGAACTTTCACCACTAAGAGATAATGATCAGAAATATGAAATAGTTTTACTAATGGCCAGATAATAAAATTGAAATATAACTATTTTTTAGAATTTCAACACATTATTTATTTGTAACCATGATTAATTTTTTTATCATTTTTTATTTTAATTTCTTTCTACAGTGAAATTCTTGTGTAATATATTTCTATCGCATAGTATGCTAAATAAACTATAAAATATTTAATGCAAATTAGAAAAAAAAATTGATTATAGCAGTGATTTAGTTTTTAGAAATTGCTAAATCAATGAACAAAATGCTAAATCAATGATGTTTAATTTTTATAAAAAATTAAATTATGAAAAAAACATGTGTGCATATTTTGTAAAATATTTATATACAATATTTTACTTTAAGTATATATATAATATTAATTACATTAATAAATAATATTAACGTACAAATATTTTTCATTACATAAAATAAAAAGAAGAAGACTACTTAACCTTTATAAATAACAATATTTATAATACAGAAGATCTAATAATAAAACAATAAATAAATATTATATGATGAGCAAGTACAATCATTATCTTTTTTATATTAAGAAATAAATAGTATACTAAAGTTAAATTAATATTAGTATAAACATGTTCAC